CTCACACTTTTTGGTAATGTTTGCTCATCATAACTTGGTACAGATAAAAGAGATTGTATGTTACTGGTGTCTACTGGGAAGAGGCCAGGGATGCTGGTAAACATTCTACAATGCACAGGACAGCCTATACAACCAAGAATTATCCAGCTAAAAATGTCAATAGTACAGAGATTGGTGCAGTGGCTAAGTGTGAAAACACTAGAGCCAGACTACCTTGGTTCAAATACAACTCCATTACTCACTGCTTACTAGGCTACGTGGCCTGGACAAGTTGACTTCTATGCCTCAGTTTCCTCATCTGAAACTACAGAACAATGTATGGGTTGTCAGAAAAGTCATGATGCATTTTTGCTTAAAAAAAATACGTCATGACTTTTCAGACAAACCAATAGCTAACCGACAGGCATGTGATTAAGACTTAAGAAGAAATATGTGCTATGGTTTAAATTTTTAAAGGAAATCAGTGAATGACTGCAGCAAGTTAAAGTACAATATGACCTGTAGTCATTCCTTTTGGGCTGTTCTCCTTTTAAAACATTAACAAATATACTGATGTCATCCACCTAGCATTAAGTATCACTCTCCATCTATGAAGTCACAAATGTAACTGTTCATATATCTAATATAATCTCCTATACTTACATTCTGCTGCTTCCTTAATAAATTAATCATAACTGTCTGCTCAAAGAGATATAAAAAACTGTCATTTTACACTATGCATGGTATACTCAAGAGTTTGAGATACGGAACATTAAAACTTCTAACTATTTTTCTTCCTCACTACTACCAAAACTATAAAAGAACATTTCTTTAGTCCCAGAACAAGTATTACTCAAATAATCATAGTACAAGAGACCTCATGTAATTTAATCTGAGCCCATTTTTAATAGAAGTTGAGGTTTAGAATTTGCCAACTTGCCCAACTAGATATATAATTAACTACTCAATCTAGAACTTGGTCAATTCTCTCGATATCAAATAAATTTAATGTAGAAGCATCCTCTTATTTGTATCCCAAGCAAGGCAATGAATAGAAAACAGAACTTAAGAATTATTAAGTGCTTTTTTTTTTTCAAATCAAACAGCAATAACCCCTCTCCCCTAAAGTACTTTCATTATTACCCTACCAAAAGTTCCCTTCGCCATTTCAAGAAGCAGTTATCATTCTACAGAATCTCTAAAAAGCTTTCTCTAATTAAAACAATGCATTATCTATCTATTGGCTTAAGTCTGTGTTATTTGGTTATTAGCTACCATTTTGCAAAATCTATACATAGTACATGAAATCTCTGGGGTGCTAATGGGCCCTATGTATTGATAAAGAAATCTTTTGTGGTAACAAAGCAGTTCATCAAAATATGACATCTAAAATTTTTGACACCTTTCTAGGAAATTCTCCAGTCTTTGGCTAAGTACATTAGACATTGACCAGCAAATATTTAAAACATTTTCAAGAATTCTGTAAATAGAGTAGGGGGACCAGCAGTTAGCATAATGGCTATGTCGCTGGACTCCCATGTAGTCGACCGCGGTTCGAATCCCGGACCCGGTGGCTTAAACTCACGCCGGGCGCGTGTGTGTGCATGCCCAAGATCCCAAGAGGAGAAGGGATTATAGTGTGACCATCCCCCCTGGGGGGTATTTCTCGCTTTCTATCTCTGTCTATGTCTGTCTGGCAATCGCACACACCCTATAAAAAAAAAAAAAAAAAAAAAGAGTAGGAAATGTCCTAGATTATTTTCATATATTAAACAAAATTCATATTATCTAGAATGATGATTATTTTCACAAACATGGTCATTAGCAAGCACGCAATAAGCACTTCTTGAGATCATTGGTATTTATGACTTAAAGCTTTCAATTTCTTAAAAGGTAAAATATTTTGTGAAATTAACAAGTTTGAAAAACGCATTATTCTCATTTGTCTAACATGGTAAGTATACAAATTACAAAATAAAAAAGTATACATAGTTCACTTACATTTGATTCTTTGCAGCTTGCCTCTGAGCTTTTCTTTCTTTCCTTTTCTGATCTGGTGGCTTAGCAAAAACAATTTCGATATTTTCTCCCTCCAAGTCTTTGCCATTCATCTCTTCCATAGCCTTAAAAAATTAAATAATGATCAACAAAAAAGCAGATCTGTCAAAACAATCATGATTCACTTAAAATTTAACATCGGACTCAGTTCCTTGAAACAGCAGTAATGTGCTGTATCAAGAGAAGCTGGAGCCCACATAAAGACTACTGGTTCAATCTCTGGTTGAATCTGGCCCAACTGGCCTGAGACACACTAGGCACAAGGAGGAATGCCCAAGATTCAAGGGATTAGAATACTGGAGGATCACAACAAGCCCAGACTCTGTGGAGGATGCTCATCTCTCTCTCTTACATTCACTTTCACATGCATGTGTACCCTATCATGAAAAAGGAAAACAAACATTTCTTAAAAATCACTTATGTGACTTGGTCAGTAAAATGAAATGTGACTGTTAGATTTTACTTAGAGATCCCATCTTAAATTAGTCTTACTTAGACAATTGCTAAACTTAATTGAAATAAGGTCAATAAAGGTTAACTTGAATGTATTCCACCATCTCAAGTATGTCAATTTTTTTTTAACATTCTGATTCTAAGATGACTAAAAATTGTTAAGTCTGATTTAGATGCCTCAGATAATTCACCATTCACTTACCTTGACAGCACCATCTCGCTCATCAAAATGAATGAAAGCATAATCTTTTAGTTTCTTCACCCGCTCCAGTTTCCCAAACTGACTAAATGCCTTTTCTAAGATCTCTTCTGTTACCGTATTGGCAAGGTTACGTACAAACAGCACTTTTACCTGAAATGAAAATAATTTTTAAAATTCCTTGTACATTTCCAAAGAGTTCAATTTCCAAGATGCTACCACTCCAAAATGCATAATCATCTCAAAGCACAAGTATCAGAACGATGTCAGGAATCGAAAGCAAAGTCTCCAATGCCTTTAGTTAAATACCAAAAAACAGGATGCTGGATAGGGTCATAAAACCCAACAGTCATTTTGTCAAAAGATATCAATGACAAAAACAGCTTTTAAAAGGATGCTCAGGGCCAACTGGTGGCAGTGATTAAGGTGGCTGGATCCCACATGACTAGCTGCACAGTTTAAGTCTCGAACCCGGTGGCTTGAAAATCACACCAGGCATGCATTTGTGCGTGTCCAAGATCCCAGGATGAGAATGTGAAAAAAGGAATTCCAGCATGACCATCCCCCCAGAGGGGTGATTTCTCACTTTTCTTCTCTCCAGTACACGTACTCTAAGCAAAGGCTCTCCTTTTTTTTTTTTTGGAGAGGTTTATGCTATAAGGGCGCGTGCGCTCGCGAGACAGAGAGAGACATAGAGACAGAAAGCGAGAAATCACCCCCCAGGGGGGATGGTTACGCCGCAATCCCTTCTCCTCCATTCTCCTCTCGGGATCTTGGGCACGCGCGCACACGCGTCCGGCGTGAGTTCCAAGCCACCGGGTCCGGGACATGAACCGCGGTCGACCACGTGGGAGTCCAGCGACATACCCATTACACTAACTGCTGGTTCCCAAGGCTCTCCTTTTTTTTTGAGAGATTTTTTTTTTTTTAAACACATTCCCTCCCTAGAGACAGAAAGTGAAAAATCACCTCCTAGTGGGTATGGCCATGCTGCAATCCCTTCTCCTCCATTCTCCTTGCAGTATCTTGTGCATACACACGTGTGCCCGGTGTTAAGTTTTAAGCCACTGGGTAGCTTAAACTGTAACAGACTATGTTGAAGTGCAGCTATATAACCATTAGGCCATCTACTGGTCACAAACCTCTTAAAAACAAAACAAAACAAAACACAAAACAAAACAAAAAGCACATCCAAGATCCCAAACTATTTTAAGACTGAAATACCAGGGACCAGCAGATGGCAAAATGGTATGTCACTGGACTCCACAGTCAAGTCCCAGACCCAAAGGCTTAAAATTCCCACCAAGCATGTGTGCCAAAAATCTCAAGAGGAGACTGATGGAGAGGGGAATAAGGCGTGGCCATCACCTGTGGGGGACGATTTCTCACTTTGTGTCTCAGCCTCTCCAGAGCACAGGCACTCAATAGCAAAAACCTCTTAAAACAAAACAAAACAAAAAAATGACAACACTAAATGCAGATTGAGTCATGAAATGACACTGTTCCTTTGGAAAAAATTTTGACAGTTTTTTAAAAAACTAAATATACTCTTACCATATAATCCAGCATCTTTGGTATTTACCCAAAGGGTTGAAAACTTATATTCACAGAAAAATACAAACATAGGTATTTATAGTAGCTTTATAATTGTCAAAAGTTGAAAATGAGCAAAAAGTCCTTCAGTAAGTGAATGGATAAACTATTATATACAGAATACAATATTATTCATCACTGTAAAGAAATGAGCTATAAAGCCACAAGTTCTCATGGAATAACCTTAAATGTGTATTACTAAGTGAAAAGAAGCCAATCTGAAAAGATGACATAATGAATTCTGACTATGTGACATTTTGAAAAGACAAAATTATGGAGACAGTAAAAAGTGATTGTGGGATAGATCAGCAGTTAATGCACTGCTCTGTGAGGATGACACATTTGGGAAGTTCCAGGTTGAACATACTGGGGCCCAGGACCCAACGTTAGATGAAGTTGAAGGTAGATTATAATGAATTCTGACTATGTGACATTTTGAAAAGACAAAATTATGGAGACAGTAAAAAGTGATTGTGGGATAGATCAGCAGTTAATGCACTGCTCTGTGAGGATGACACATTTGGGAAGTTCCATAGAACTTAGATGAAGTTGAGGGTAGATTACAGTGCGGAGACCTTGTTGGAGATTCATAGATGTGTACGTGCATGAATGCATGTGTTGCGACTCCCAGGAGGAGTTTAAGAAAAACTTTTAAAAAATCAGACTGTCAAGGGTTGGAGAGAATGAAGAGCAGGAAGAGAAGCACAGAGGACTTTTACAGTAGGTAAACTACTCTGGCTAATAGTTTGTCAAAACCCATAAAAATCTACAATACCTACAGTGAACTCTAATATAAACTATGAACTTTGGGTGATCAATGTAAATTCATCAGTTTTACCAAATATATCACGTAAGTATAGGAGCTACTGGTAATTCATTGTACTTTCTATTAAATTTTGCTGTAAACGTACAGCTGCTACAAAAACGATATATTTAAATGGATAAACATACACTGTATAGTGATTTTTATTAAACTGGTAATTACTTATAGCCCAAAAAAAGGTAATCATTTCCTAACAATTTGAGTACCATGCCCTAAGAGAGCTGTTGAATGTTTTAACACTTAACAAAGGTGGCCAAAATTAAGTAAGGCCTGTTTAGGAATCTTAAATAGAGAGAATGTTCAATACATTGATTATATAAATTTTTCACTCAATCTTGAAAGCTTTTCAAATACAAATTCAAAATTTTAAACTTTTGGCTAATAAACAGTATCATCTCCCTCTAAAAATACATGAGTATCATCTGAATTTGTTAACACTTAAAAGGGTGCTAAGCCAGTGAGAGCTTCATAGATAAGAGGAATAACAAATCCAATATTCTCTATTCTCTAAGATGACTTAGCTCCTAATAATATTCATATTCACCTGGCAGTTTACACTCCTCCCCCTTTGATTCACCAGAGTTATTTGCATTTGACACCTCCCCTATAACTATTACAGGGAAATTCTTAAAAAGACAAAACTGCAAAGTGCAATACTATGTAGTGAAGTGTTGGCTCAAGAGATGTTTATTCTCATAGGATGTCTCAACTAACTGCTGAAGCAGGATACCTAATAATAGCTAAACATTGTAACTGCAGCAGCCCTGCTAGGGCCAGTATGTTCACTATTTTTAGGATAACTTTAACACAAAAACTATGTAAGCTAATGGCGCCATTCCCCAAACTCAGAAATTGCACTTACAATCCATAGAAAAATGGAAGTGAGCCAACTCTGAAGCATGTAGGCTACCTACTTTATCATGAGATTATGGTGGCTACACAATTATGACTAAATGTCCATGAATAAATCTGTATATATATATTCACTTTCCAAGCTCATGGTTTTCCAAGTATGTGGCCCTAATCTTAGTAAAGAACAGTCTTCTTACCTTCAATATATGATTTTAAAAATGTACACAATTCATTTTATGTCTCCCCATTCCACCCTTCTCCCATCAACTCTTAAAAAAATATTTTTATCTTGACTATCATTACCTTTGCCATAACCTCAGGATCAGGATCTTCTATAGGATCAGCCCATTCTACAGTTCCAACATTGCCCCAGACCTTGACTTTACCACTCATTAACCTACGCCTTGCCTGGGCAGCTGTTTTGTGATCTTCATATTCAAGAAAACAAAAGCCTCTGTTTTTTTTCTTGTCATCCGGTTGGTGGTATAAAATGACATCTGTAAGACCCTCTGAAAACAAGCAACCAGTCCAGGAAAATTAGATTAACTAGCAATAACAAGTAGATCAAAATATCTATTTTCCTGATGTAATTCATATATATTAAAATAAAAACTAATCCCTCTTCTTCACTAGCAATCTTTACAATAAATAAAATTTCCTAATCCATCCTTCCTAGTTTTCCCAGCATAGAGACCCCCCCATGAAAATGTATTTAATCAAATGAAAAGTCTGCTTTGCTTGCACTAATTAAAATCACAGTGAGATAGTAAAATATTTACATAATGGTTTTTAAAAAATGTCATTATAGGTCAAACATGATCAGATTTTTTTATACAAGCAAATGTTAATATTCTTTTTAATGGTATTTTTTCTGATTTTAGGTAATTTTCTAGTGAAATAGAAAATACTATTAGGTCATCAGAAAAGTCATGACACACTTTTGCATAGAAAAAAAGAGGAAAAAATACATCATGACTCTTCTGATGATCCTACAGTAGTACATAAGAAATTCAGATGTTCCTCTTGAGCCAATATACAGTGTATTTTGGATGGAAAATTCATTTGTATGCTGTAATGATGTATAGTGAATTGATGTAAAAAAATAAATTTAAAGAGCAAAAATAAATTTAAATAAATAAACTCTTTCTAAACTACTGAAAAAAAAAAAAGAAAGAAATTCAGATGTTCCTGGAGACTGATAACAGGCTGATAATTTGCTATACACTACTGGCAGAAAGAAATATTTTCTAATAAAAGCAGCCTGTCATTTGAAAACTGTTATCAAAGATGTTTTACAGCTCGAAGAAATTACACTATATTGATCATTTATAATCTGCTTGCAGCAAGAATACATACTCCTATAATCTGAAAAGATCCAATCACAATTCATACAATTCTAAGACTATCAACTAGCATCTAGAAAAAGAACACACAAAGGAAAACGATCTTGCACAACAGGGGCACCAGAACAATAATCTTTAAGACTTGAGTTTGGCTGCATGCATTCATTACCCTCGTGTATAATTTACCCCAAACACTTTGTGCCCACTTTCCTTATCTGAAAATCACGCTAACCTCAAAAAGTTGTACCGAGATTCAATGAGTCAATTAATGTTGTCTAGAACAATGCTCAAGACAGAAACTTATTTTCTACATTATTATAAATTGCACCTCCTTCCAAATAAATCCAACTTACCTGTTACTTTGCTAAATTCTTCAAGAATCTGTTCCTTGGTTTTACTCTTAGGAATAGAGCCCACAAAAAGCCTATTGTTGGCAACCGAGATGCAGACACCAATGTGTTTTCCAGAGCGAATTTCATGATTATTATACTGAAAGGGGGAAAAGTGTATCATATTCTTAAATTACTTACAATACCCAATTATTGTGTTTATTATAGAATATATGTAGATCTCATACACAAAAGCAAAACATAGTGCTTTCATCATTTAAAAGTCTACACAACTTCAAAAACTGCTAATCCTAGTAATACCTTAATTTCTATTTTAATTTGTTCTGCTTCTAACAAGTTATTTTCATGCAAAAACAACTGATTCCAAAGCTAGTAAGCATTACGTCTTTTTATTAACCAGCACCTAAACCTATTTTCCTTCCCTCTTATAAAAAAGCAGCAATAATGAATTTCTGACTTCAAATATTTAAATGTAAAAATGAGCTCCTTGGGACCAGCATAAGGCATAATGGTTGTGTCACTGGATAGTCAACCGTGACTCAGGTCCCAGATTCTGTGGCTTAAAACTCACGCAAGGAGCATGTGCATGCATACCTAAAATCCCTAGGGAAGAATGGGGAAGGGAATACAGCATGGCCATCCATCCCCATGGGGAGTGATTTTTCACTTTCTGTCTGTCTCTCCAGCAATCACACACATCACACACTATAGCAAAAATCTCTTTAAAATCATTCTCTAGGAGAGATAGATACACCACAGTCCCTTCTTATTTTCCTCTCTAGATTTTGGACATGCATCCACACACACCCAGCATGTATGTTTTCAAGCTGCTAGGTCCCAGTTTAAAACATGGAGTCAGCCATATGGGATCCAGTGCATTAACCACCATACCACGTGCTGGCCACCTCCCCAGGCCTATTTCTATTTCTCCACATTCTTGTCAGAGACATAAAACTAAAATAAAACAAATGAACTAGAGGCCCAAACACACAGGTATAGGCAGTAGAGGTGTGGCTGCACAAACCTGGAGCCATATATGAGGGTTCATGGTTCTCCCCAGGGCTACCTAAGTGTGCTAACTGTGGCACCTCAAATAAATCCAACCTGAAAGCTTCTGCTGCTACTTCTGTCTCTCCACAGTACCTTAGCTATTTCATATATCAATTCTCATACATGGAAGTTTTGCACTTCGAAAACTGAAGAAAATGCTTTGAAACTTCCACCATCCAATCTCTTCATACCTAGAAACTGAGCTCAACCATCAAATACTCTTCAATTCCTAAATACTATAGAGGTCAACAAAAACACCCATCCATGTTAACATAGACCAACAATTTTCAACAGGAATGATTTTGTCCCCCAGGGCACATAGAGTTTTGCTGCCAACAACTTGAAGTGGGGGAGTAGGCACATGCTGCTGGTTATCTAACAGGTAGATAGAGACCAGAGTTACTGGTAAACATCCTACAAATCATAGTGAACAGCCTACCGCAATGATTTATCTAGTCTTAAACACCAGTAATAGTGCTCAGTTTGAGAAATCCTGTTACATACTTGGTTTTCTCATACAGTATTTACATGTCTATGTCCAATAGACAAAGAACTTTTCCCTTCTTTTCAATTCTCTTGTGATTTTGGCATGCACACACACACATGCCTGGCATGAGTTTCAAGCTGCTGGACCCAGGACTTGAACCATGGTCAGCCGTGTGGGATCCAGTGCCTTAACCGTCACACCACCTACAGGTCCTTTTTTTTTTTTAATTTAAATTGGCTATAGGGTGTGTGTGTTCACCAGTGACAGAGAAAGTGAGAAACCACCCCCATTCCTGGAGGGGATGGCCATGTCAGTCTCTCTTCCATTCTCCTCAGGATTTTTAGACAGGTCGGTGTGTTTTGCTAGCCACCAGTCTAGGACCCAAACCATACTTGGCCGTGTGGGAGCCAGCTTCCTAAACCACCATTGCACCGGCTGGTCCCCAAAAACCTCTTGAAAGCAGAAATGTTCAAGTTACCTGAAAACAGAAAAGCTTATGGTGGAATCCATCGATGCATGAGATTAAGGACTAGGAGACTATGATACCTTATTTACACATAAGTTTATGGTATGAATACAGTAAACTGCTTTAAGACCTTAACATTTCCTGGGGCCAGTAGGTGGCACAATTGTTAAGGTGCTAGATTCCCACATGTATATGGTTCGAGTCCTGAACCCCGTGGCTTGAAACTCATGCCAGGTGCATGCATGCCCAAAAGGAGAGGAGAATGGAAAAGGGATTGCAGTGTGGCCATCTAACCTCAGGGTGATTTTTCACTTTCTGTCTCTCTGGCAAGCACACATGCCCTATAGCAAAGACTAAAATAAAATGAAAACAATAAAAAAAAAACTCTACATTTCCTAGATTCTTTACTATGTTCTATCAACTTCAGTAACAAATCAGCGGCTTCCTATTCTATCTTCTATTCTCTAACTCTAGCCATTGACAAAAACAGTAACAACATCAGAAAAACGGAAGGTCACACAGTGTTTATAAAAGGAAAAACAAATTATTTGAGTAATGATTTGGTGTGATTCTTTTCCTACGCTTTTTTCACAATCTTCTAAAGAAGAACAATTTACTCTAAAAAAATACCTAATAAAAGGGACAGCAGGCAGTATCAAGAGATTAAGGTGCTGGATTCCCTCATTGCTTACTATAGCTTGAAGCCTAGACCCAGTGGGTTGATAAATCACAACAAATAAATATTAGTAGCCAAATAAATGTTTTTTAAAAATATTTAATTATTGTGGACCCAGCAGGTTGGCATGATGCTTAAGGCACTGGACTGCCACACATGGTCGGCTGCTGTTCCATCTCAGATCTGATGGCTTACTTTCTCTGTCACTGGTGAGCATGAAAATAATAAATAAAATTAATAAATCATTTAAAAGAATCTAATTACTGGTGGGAAAAGCTAGAATATTTAAAAATACTACTGAGGGCAACCAAAATCCTACAAGAAATCTAGGTGAGAAACACAGAACAACAGAGAACAGAAAAAACTCTACTAAGGCAACTGTAGTCAGAAAAATACTGGGAAGATAGCCTATCTGTAATGCAGCCAACTCTTCTATCAAAGATCAATATTTGGAGTGCTGCTGTGAAGTACTAATAACTGTTTCATTATCAACACAAAAACCATTTCTTTCCTCCCAACCCATCTTGACTGACCCTGCTTATCAAGTTAATCGAGGCAGAGCAGGTAGAAGGTATGAAGGACGGCTGTGGCATCTAAATATAAATGATGAGAAGATTTATCAACACTTGCAAAACTAGTAACTCTTCTCTACCACAGTTTTTCAATGTAAAAAAAAAAAAAAAAAAAACTTAAAACTATTACAGATAAGTATACAGCCAGTATACACTGGTTCTCCAATGAAAGTAAGTCAAATGAGAACAGGGCATACTGTCCAAATACAACTAATATCTAGAAATACACATTTTTCTAAAGGAAGTAACACTCCATCTGTAGAATCAGTATTTTCTATGTTATTTTATTTACTTATTTATTTTTAAATTTGCCATAGGGCACGTGCACTCATGAGAGAGGAAGAAATTGAGAGAGGCCAAGTTGCCAAATCCAGGACTTGAACGGCAGTCAGCCATATAGGAATCCAGTGCCTCAACCACCACACCACCTATTAACCCATATGCTTTTTTCTTTTAAGGATTTTGCCATAGGGCATGTGCCCAGAGAGGCAGTGAGAGGGAAAGTGAGAAATAAACCCCTGGGAGGATAGCCACAAAGCAATTCCTTCTCCTCCATTGTCCTGGGATTTTGGATGCACATGCACAAGCGCCTAGAGTTTGAGTTTCAAGCCAAGTATGAGACTCAAACCATGGCTAGCCATATGAAGTCCAGTCCCTTAACCACCACACCACTGGCTGGCATAGTATTCATTTTTTTATTCTTTTTTAAAAAGATTTATTTGTTTTCAATTTTATTTATTATCATTAGTCTTCAATTTTGACCAGAGAGTGGCTGAAAGAGAGAAAGGGAGCATGAGAAAGCAAGCCTCCAGGTCCAGGATTTGAACCATGGTTGTTGGTTATGTGGAAGTCCAATGCCTCAACCACACCACCTTTTGCCCCCCCCATACATTTTTAATGCACATTCAAAATCATTAACATTTCGTGTTCTAATACTAGTCACCTTAAAAGCAAAAACTTTCTGGGCCTCTCATGTACAATGATTTTAGGCACAGGGAAAAGGATCCCATAAGCATATCTTAATATAAACTCCCAGTCTCGGCAACAAGAAAAACAGATGTGTGTACACATGTGCACAAAATCGTCACAGAACAGAGAAATGGAAGAAAAGCAAATTCGCAGAATCAGCAGGTGGCGTGGTGGTTGAGGGCACTGGACTCCAACATGGATGACCACAGTTCGAGTCATGGACCTGGCAGCTTGCTTTTCCGTCTCACTCACTCATTCACTCACTCTCTCTCTCTCTCTCCCTTTCTGGTCAAATTAAAATAAATAAATAGTTATAAATGATTCTTAAAAAAAAAAAATTAATTCAGCATGACCACATACTATGAGGGTGGGGGTTAAGTACTCAATGGGATTGTGCACCTTCTCCTGGTGAAGGTATATATACCCTTCAGCAACAAAAAGAAACTGTGGGAAAATGTGATTAAAGTATGAGTTATCTGGGTGTAGAAAACAACAAAAAGATTTTTCTAATCCCAGTAGGTGGGGAACCAGCAGTTAGCGTAATGGCTATGTCGCTGGACTCCCATGTAGTCGACCGCGGTTTGCGTCCCGAACCCGGCAGCTTAAAACTCACGCTGGGCGCGTGTGCGTGCGTGCCCAAGATCCAGAGAGGAGAATGGAGAAGGGATTGTGGCGTGACCATCCCCACTGGGGGGGGATTTCTCGCTTTCTGTCTCTATGTCGCTCTCTCTCTGTCTGGCGAGCGCACGCACCCTGTAACGAAAACAGCTCCAAAAAAAAAAATAATAATCCCAGTAGGTGGGTAACAGTGAGTCAGATGACAGGACAACACAAGAACAAATCTGAACCTTAATAAAGATTCTAGTACTGAAAAATCTTAACTCTGAAGAGTCAGGCAATAAAGACACTGATAACATAA